TCGGCAGGCCCCTACACTCTCGTTTTAAAGAAAGACAGAGTTTCATTATATGGTCCAGGCTGGCCCTGATATCCTACACTCAAGCAATCCTGATCCTCTTGTCTCAGCCTCCCCAGTGCTGGGATTACAGGTGTGCGCCACAACGCTCCATTCAGGGCCTGCAGAACAGCACAGCACGTGGTACAAACCTAGGTCCTTGTGCTTGCCAGGCAGGCACTTAGGCTGCTAAGCTATCTCCCCAGCCCCTGGAACAAAAATTTGTTTTTATTTTTGAGACAAGAACCTTCTATGGAGTTCAGGCTGGCTTTGAACTTACTACATAGCTCAGATCGGCCTTGAGCTCCACATGATCCTTCTGCCTCAGCCTTCTGAACACTGGCATTCTAGATGTGCACCACCACACCCAGCTGAAAATATATTTGAGGGTGTTTGACATGCCAGGTGTAGAATAAAGGTAGGAATCAACCTTAAACCAGCTTCTATCAAAATCTAAAATGTCCTTCAAAAAAAAAAAAAAAATAGTCCTTATTGTTTGACCTGATAAGAGACTCACAAATGTATGTGTGTACTGGCTGGATCTTGCTACATTAGTCCCAAACCAGAACCCACCTCAAAGTCTGTCACTTAACAGGCCATGCAGGGTCACTGCCGAGCCCCGTGTGGCCATGTGAGAGCCCGGTGACCAGTGGACACCGGCATAGACAGCAGTCCCAGGAAGGGCACTTCGCTGCCCAGGTACCAACAGCACTGTTTATGCTGTCCTCCTGCCATTCTTTGGAGAGCCAGCCTATATGACAGTCCCTAATAAACTCTGCGAGTGATGAGCCCCCAGGGGGCCTCTGAGGTCACCAACACTTTACACATCACTGCTCCCTGCAGGAGGCATCAAGCAGACCCCTGGAGGGGACTCCAGAAACTTGCTCCCTGCTTCCTGAGGCCCTCAGCCCATATGCCTCTTCCTTTTAGCTAAATTTAATCTATGTCCCTCAACTGCAATAACCCTCACCCTGCCATGAGCACACATATAGGAGCCTCCTGCTGAAGCTCTAAACCTGGGTTTGGGGACTCTGACATATTCCTGTATTTAAAACTCTTCTTTGATTTCCCCTTATTCTTAAAAAACTGAAGAACCAGACGCCTTGCAGAGGTCACACCGTTCTGCCCGCTGGGCTCTGCTGATCTGCCCTCATCTTCCATATTTGCTGCTGTGGCCACAGCAGTCAGGCCCTTCCAGCTACAGGGCCTTTGCACGCACAGGTTCCTCTGCCTGGCACGTGTGATGCCCTTTCACTGCGCTATCTATCCTCCTCTGGGCCCCTCTCAAGCCTCCCAGCTAGGGAGCTAGGCTTCCCCATTGCTTGCTCATGGCCCCTACACCCCTGGGGGGCTGTGTCACCCAAGCACCCTGGGGTGCAGGTTTGGCAGGTCCTGCTCATGCCGCGACTCCTGTACCTAGCAGAAACCACAGCACATGCCAGGACAGAATGAGCCCCTCAGCTGAGCTTCACGCACAGGGACACCGGAGCCACCTGCCCGGGCCTCCCTGCCCCACGGGGCTGCGTGTTCTGAGGAATGCCTATTTTTAAGATCAGGGAAGTCTTTAAATAAGCACAGAAATTGTTCCTTCTCTAGGGTGGGGAGGAAGTTTGAGGTTCATGAAAACAAACCCCCGAGCCGGCTGACTGGTTCCGGCAGGAGGGGTGTTCATGGGTGGAGGAGCCTACCTGATGGCCCAGAACCCCAGAACTGTGCTCCTCTCCCTTCCCTCCCCCTCCACAGAGCAGCTGCCAACCTAGCACCATGACAGTGAAGCCACATTCACAAGGTGGACAGCGCAGACCTGCAGGCTCCAGAGCTCTGGGCACAGCCCGTTACGCACAGTGCAGCCACCCCGTGAAGGCTGTGCAAACCATCTCCACTCACCAGTGGAGTAACCGGAAACGGAAAGGCCAAGAGGTGAACCCCAGCTCACACAGCCCATGAGAAACAGAGCTGGGTCTCCAGCCTGGTCTCCCCTCTGCCTTCTGGACTGCCCATGAATACACCCGGCCCCCAGCTGCTTTGGCAGGGGACACCGCTCTCAGCCCGGCTGCATGACGGAATCACCTGGAAGCTTCTGAGCCCCCTGTCCTGGACTTGGAGATGCTGAGCTCATCAGCTGTGGTGTGGTGAGGGGTGCTGTGTAGGAACTGCTGGGCTGAAGGTGCCAAAGGGCTACAGATGTCTGGGAACACCCAGCTGCAGGCTCCTGGGAGGGCCAGCACGTGCCAGTAGGAACATGGTCATCTGATGGGCCACAAGTCCAACCTGCCTGCATGATGGAGACCATGGTACCACAGACAACTCTGTGTTTTGTTTTGTTTTGTTTTTTAACGTATTTAGTACAGAGTCTACAGGGTCTCATTACATAGATCAGACTTGTAGTGATCCACCTTTTTACAGCCTCTCAAGTGCTGGGATTACAGGCGAGTGCCACCACACCCAGTCTCAAACATAGTCTCAGCGCGCCCAGAGGGCGGGGCGGGCATGGCAGGCCCAGGGATTGAACCCCTGGCCCCTGTGTCTGCCTAAGTAGGTGCTTTAGTCTGGCTGGCCCAATTCTGTGGCTTTCTCCAACTGCTTCTATGAACCAGACCTACACCGCCTCTATGGCTGTGGTGGTTGGTGGCTGTCGCCGAGTACCTTGCTAAGGACTTGGAGGGTAGCGTCTCCTTTAATCTGCATTGCTCTGTGCCCTGGTGCTGGTGTTTCTGTTTTACAGAACAGTGAAACTGAGGCTCAGAGACGCACTCAGTAGGGCAGGGGTCCACAGTGGGCTGAGCCCGTCTCCACGGACTGGCTACTACGAACCCTCTAAACACCATAATAGCTTTTCCTACCACACAGCTCTTCTGCTGCAAAAAGGAGGAGAGTTCTAAAGCAAACCTGTGAAGACAAACTTTTCAGAACACAACGAGCTTGACAAGGGTCCAAAGAACATGTTCTCTCACCAGAAGAGGCCATTTGCCCCCATCTTCCCAGGCCCCCAGCAATGCCACCATCCCTGCAGTAACAGGCAGCCTCCTGCTCCCGGGGTTCACCCTGGTGTGTCCCAAGGAGGTTCTGTATTCCAGGTGCCACTTTCCCTGCAGTTTCGGAGTCCTGGTCCAGGCCTGGACGAGGCCCCCACCACACCCCTGTCGGCTTCCTACAGACTCCCTTGGACCCCTGCTACCTTACCTGCTGTCACGCACCTCAGGGAACAGGCCTGCACCCCACATCCATTTCTTTTACTATTATACCAGTGTAAATGTGAGCAGAAGAAGCACATTCCTAACGATCCGGCCACCCCCAGCTTCTCCAGCACCTGTCTGCTTCTCAAATCTGTATCCTCTAGGGTTACAGTCAAAGACCACAGACAATTCTGTGTGTTTCTCCTGAAGTTATAAGCCCCACACGTACGCCTCTTTGTGGCCAACACGCTGCCCAGGGAGTCAAATGATCTCATTGTTACATTTTGATGGCTTCTCACATTCAGCATCTTTTATCACCAACTCTAAAACCACATTTTCTCATCTCTGACAGGTGGGTGTGCCTTTCAATGGGTCTGTTTCAGTGTTACGTCACTCCATCTCACCAAAGTACTTCATAGCACATAAAATAACAGGGCATCCACAACAAATAGCATCTAACATCCAACATACTCCAAAATCTAATGCTATAAACTTATCCTTTTTTTGTTTTGTTTTGTTTTTGCAGTACTGGGGTTTGAGCCCACTGTCTCACTTCAGGCCACTGAGCTGCATCCTCAGCCCTTAGGGGTTTATTCTGAGAAGGGATCATGCTAAGTTGCTAAATTACAGCCGGGGCTCAAACTTGTGATCCTTCTGCCTCATATTTTTTATGTTTATGGATTGTTTCTTTTCCCATTCATTACATAATAAGACTGCGATATGAATATTTTCATGATTCTGGATACAAACTGTCAGTTTTTTCCCAGGACAGCTGTCAGGATTGAGCTGGCCCTGTGAAAAACCTCCATACACGCAGGTGTGCTGGGGACCACAGGTGACCAGCAGCCACTTTCTCTGTGTGCTCTCTGGTTGCCTGATTTCACGGGGGACTGCAAAACAAGGACCTGTCTCTACTATTTCTCCCTGCCTTTCTTCAAAACAACCCTTTGTACTAACAAAGCCTGGAAGCCATGGAGCACCAGGCCCCTCAGTGGTGGGAAATCCAAGCTCTCCCTTGCCGTCACCTCCCTGTCATTCCCTGGTCCTGCTGACCCACGCTGGCTTTGGGGCCTCGGCCCCACCACACAGCTGCTACCTTGAGCTCTTCACCTCCCCCCACCCCACCCCGAGCCTGCCCTGGCTGGGCCCGCAGAACCTTCACAAGAACGCAGAGGGGAAGCCAACACTTCCTCCTCTCCACTTTGCCACCTGTGCTCCCCAAGAGCCCAGCACCCCAAAGGACACCAAAGGACAGAGCTTATTAGCCCTACCCCAGATAGCTGTAAAGTCTTCACTCTGGAATTAGGCCAGGTGGAAATCCCACTGCTGCCAATTTCTAGCCATGTGGTCCTGAATGAATGGCTGTAGCTCCCCTTGCCAAGTTTCTTTACCTTATAAAAGGGAGTGCTCAGCCCCGTGGGTCAGGGTTGGCCTGGTGCTAGGAGACTGCTGTCTCATCCCTTCCACTGTCTTTCAGGAAAAGGGTGGTAAATAACCTTTCTGTCACCCTCCAGATAAGGAAACTGAGGCTTAGACTGGCGAAGGGCATGGCCTTGTGCTTCATGTTTATTAAAACACAAAGCTAGGAACCGAACCTATTGGTTCAGATTGCCAGGTTACCCAGGGAGTTGTGAAGCCCTTCCCTAGCTTTTCACATTTGTCACCTCCAGGTAGGGTACAGACACCTTCTACAGGGTTTTCTCTCTGTCATACAGGAATCGCCCAACATAATTATCTTCTCAGAGCTGGGAGGGCTTTTGAGGCTGCTGGACACCTGAGGTGACTTACCTTGTCATCCCCAGATGCCATTTTCCTGCTCCCTCTGGATCTGGAACACAAGAAGACATCCGTCAGATCTGCCTCCTGCTGTGATTTTCTGAACATGTGCTTGAAAATCTTGGCTTATGGATTAGTTATAAATTCATTTTAATGGTGTCTGAAATAGTAGGAAGCTGGGGCATAGTGGTGCCCACCTGTAACCCCAGCCCTCGGGAGGCTGAGGCAAGAGGATTGCCGCCAGTTCAGGGGCCACATAGTGACTTCAGGGCCAATCTGAGCTAGATAGTGAGACCCTGTCTCAAAAGAAGTGGAATAGTACAAAGCTCACAAGTGTACACAGCAGGATGCGCATCCTGGGGATACACCCGAAAGGATGGGGGAAAGGCACCCAGCTTGGACCTGCCTGACACCGGCTCTGCTTTTTGGTTACTATGGAGAGTATGCAGCAGGAACAAAGTGGCCAAAAGGTGGAAGCAGACCCCAGGTCTAACACTGGCACACCCCCACCAGAAGGAACAAGGCACTGACACAGCCGGCAACATGGATGGGCCTAGAAAACGTTACACAATGCCAGGCAGCTGCTCACAAATGTCACATCCTCTGAGGCACATCGACAAAAGATGCCCAGAACAGCAAATCCAGGGAGATAGAAAGGCAGCAGACCTATGGGTGCCAGCGGTTGGAGGAAGAGAAGAGTGAGGGGTGGTTGCTTCACGGGTGTCGCGTGCCCTGCGGGGTGACAACAGTGTGCTGGGCCCACAGATAGGTGCTGGCCTCAGGGCCACACGGCACTGGGAAGGCACACAGCACTAGGAACGGCAGCCTTTCAAGGGGCTCATCCTAGGTATCCTCTGCGAATTTCATTCTAATTTCACAAGCCAGAAATGCAGCCATGGCGCTACAGTTGGGGCTGCCCTGAAAGGCAGGAAACCATCTAAACGTCCACCTGTGGGGCCTGCAGGGCTCAGCCTCTCGATCTTCATCTATGGATACAGGACAGTAAGACAAAACTCCATTACAACGCAGTGTGCGCTGGGGGACTCATCTATGCTAAAAATAAGTAAGTAAGTAAGTAAGTAAGTAAGTAAGTAAGTAAGTAAAGGCTATAGAAATGTTAAGTCTTTAAGGACAGCCAAGCTCTTCACAGTGGTTCGCTCTGGGAGAAAAGGGAATACTCTGGGTATGGGGGTTGGGTGGCTTCTTTCTTTCTCTTTGCTTCTGTAAAGTCTGAACTTTTACAATGACTATGTGTTACTTTTCAAAATTATTTTTAACATAAGTGACACATGCATGTAGTACAAAATTTAAATAATACAAGAAAATGTACTATGACAACACAACCACCCTTCCCAGAAGCAGGGACTCTGGCCAGGGCCCTCCGCAGCCTTAGAGGGCGTTCTGTACCTCAAAGCACACCGTACTCACTTTCACTCCCTCTTCCTGTGTGTTTTTTTCCTTAAACAAATGAGAGCCCACACACTGCTCTGAACCTTGCGTATTTCTTTAGGCAGTGGTCAGCAGAGTAATTTCTCCCAGAGGATCCTTAGATGGGAGGGTGGGGATTATCCAGATGGACCCACTGTAATCAAAGAAGGTTTTTTGATTACTTTTTTTTTTTTACAGTGCCAGGTTTTTTGATTGCTTTTTTTTTTTTTTTTTTTTTTTTTTTTTTTTTTTT